CCCCCCCCCTCCTCCTCCTCCTCCTCGTCCTCGTCCTCCTCCTCCTCCTCCTCCTCTTCCTCCTCCTCCTCCTCCTCCTCCTCCTCCTCCTCCTCCTCCTCCTGGTACTCCTCCCCCTCCCCTTCTCCTCCTCCTCCTCCTCTTCCTGGTCGTCCTCCTCCTCCTGGTCGTCCTCCTCCTCCTGCTCGTCCTCCTCCTCCTCCTGCTCGTCCTTCTTCTCCTGCTCCTCCTGCTCCTCGTCCTGCTCCTGCTCTTCCTCGTCCTCCTGGTCTTGCTCGTCCTCCTCCTCGTCGTGCTCTTGCCCCTGCTGAAAATGTGGCCCAGGAATGGGAGTTCTGGGAAGTCGAAGAGCACGAAGTTGCCTACAGTTGGCTACGGGCATTCAAAATGTGGCCCGGGAATGGAGTTCTGGGAACTCGAAGAGCACGAAGTGGCCTACGGTTGGCTCCGGGCATGCAAAATGTGGCCCGGGAATGGAGTTCTGGGAAGTCGAAGAGCACGAAGTGGCCTACAGTTGGCTCCGGGCATCCAAAATGTGGCCCGGGATGGAGTTCTGGGAAGTCGAAGAGCACGAAGTGGCCTACAGTTGGCTCCGGGCATCCAAAATGTGGCCCGGGAATGGAGTTCTGGGAAATCGAAGAGCACGAAGAGGCCTACAGTTGGCTCCGGGCATCCAAAATGTGGCCCGGGAATGGAGTTCTGGGAACTCGAAGAGCACGAAGTGTGTGACTGTTGCATCCGGCCCCCCAGAATGTGGCCCGGGAATGGCGTTCTGGGATGTCGAAGAGCACTTTGTGTGTGACTGTTGCATCCGGCCCCCCAGAATGTGGCCTGGGAATGGAGTTCTGGAAGGCGAAGAGCACGAAGTGTGTGACTGTTGGTGAAAAACGAGCCCGGCTCATGCCGCCCGGAAACGCCCCAACACCTGCCCGGACCCCCCTGTGGAGTGATCTGTGAGCTCTTTTGAGACCACTAGAAACCTATCAGTCTTCGCTGTTAGGTAATTATCCCGGCAAAGCAACCTAACAGCGATGTGTAGAAGCATATCTGAAAGCATTCCCCTTAAGATTCAGATGAAAATCCAGTTGTCGAATTCTGCTGTTCTCGCAGTCGTAGTCGCATTCGCGATGACAGTCGCAGCGGCAACGGCAGTCGCAGTCACAGCCTCAGCCTCAGCCTGCATCCTCCTCCTCCTCCTCCTCCTCTTTCTCCTGCTCCTCCTCCTCCTCCTCCTCCTCCTCCTCCTCCTCCTCCTCTTCCTCCTGCTCGTCCTCGTTCTCGTCCACCTCGTCTTGCTCGTCCTCCTCCTCCTGGTGCTCTCTCCTCCTCCTCCTCCTCCTCCTCCTCCTCCTCCTCCTCCTCCTGGTGGTCCTCGTTCTCCTCCTCCTGGTGCTCTCCCCCCCCCTCCTCCTCCTCGTCCTCCTCCTCCTCCTCCTCCTCCTCGTCCTCCTCCTCCTCTTCCTCCTCCTCCTCCTCCTCCTCCTCCTCCTCCTCCTGGTAGTCCTCCCCCTCCCCTCCTCCTCCTCCTCCTCCTCTTCCTGGTCGTCCTCGTTCTCGTCCTCCTCGTCTTGCTCGTCCTCCTCCTCCTCCTGGTGTTCTCTCCTCCTCCTCCTCCTCCTCCTCCTCCTCCTCCTCCTCCTCCTCCTCCTCCTCCTCCTCTGGCGAGTCCTTCGTTCTCCTCCTGGCCTCCCTGTACACTCCCCCCCCCCTCCTCCTCCTCCTCGTCCTCGTCCTCCTCCTCCTCCTCCTCCTCCTCCTCCTCTTCCTTCCTCCTCCCCTCCTCTCCTCCTCCTCCTCCTGGTACTCCTCCCCCTAACCCTCCTCCTCCTCCTCTCCTCCTCAACCTGGTCGTCCCTCCTCCTCCTGGTCGTCCTCCTCCTCCTGCTCGTCCTCCTCCTCCTCCTGCTCGTCCTTTTTCTCCTGCTCCTCCTGCTCCTCGACCTGCTCCTGCTCGTCCTCGTCCTCCTGGTCTTGCTCGTCCTCCTCCTCGTCGTGCTCTTGCCCCTGCTGAAAATGTGGCCCAGGAATGGGAGTTCTGGGAAGTCGAAGAGCACGAAGTTGCCTACAGTTGGCTACGGGCATTCAAACTGTGGCCCGGGAATGGAGTTCTGGGAACTCGAAGAGCACGAAGTGGCCTACAGTTGGCTCCGGGCATTCAAAATGTGGCCCGGGAATGGAGTTCTGGGAAATCGAAGAGCACGAAGTGGCCTACAGTTGGCTCCGGGCATCCAAAATGTGGCCCGGGAATGGAGTTCTGGGAAATCGAAGAGCACGAAGTGGCCTACAGTTGGCTCCGGGCATCCAAAATGTGGCCCGGGAATGGAGTTCTGGGAAATGGAAGAGCACGAAGTGGCCTACAGTTGCATCCGGCCCCCCAGAATGTGGCCCGGGAATGGAGTTCTGGGATGTCGAAGAGCACGAAGTGGCCTACAGTTGCATCCGGCCCCCCAGAATGTGGCCTGGGAATGGAGTTCTGGGAAGGCGAAGAGCACGAAGTGTGTGACTGTTGGTGAAAAACGAGCCCGGCTCACTGCCGCCCGGCAACTCCCAACACCTGCCCGGACCCCCCTGTGGAGTGATCTGTGAGCTCTTTTGATCCCACTAGAAACCTATCAGTCTTCGCTGTTAGGTAAAAATTCGTTCCATGTCCTTCAGAAAACGTACATGTTGCGCATATGTACCTCTTTGGCTTTCACAGCGTCCGAGACGGCCCAAGAGGCCCCCAAAGCTGCCCCACAGGCTGCCAAGAAGAGAGTCCCAAGACGGCCCGAGAGGCCCCCAAGACAGCCCAAGAGGGCCCCAGGACGAGCCCCAGAGGGGTCCCCAGAGGTGCAAGGCCATATTCAAATTCCGAGCTTTCGGCCCCAGAGGCTCCCAGGAGGCCCCAAGAGGTTCCCAGGAGGCCCCAAGATCCCCCAAGAGGCCCCAAGAGGCCCCCAAGAGACTCCCAGGCGGCTCCCAAGGGGCCTCCGTGAGGCCCCCGGGACCTCGAAGTCGCTCTTGAGAGGCTTCTAAGATGCTTTCAAGCCCCCCCCTAAGAGGGCCCACACTGGCCATATGATGAAAGAACATCGTCGAGGGGTATCATGGCGATGATCAGGATGATGCGAAGATAGCGGTTGCGACGGTGAGAGGAGGGGAATTATCATGAAGGTGGGTACGATAACGATGGTGATGATGCTGATGCTGATGACGATGCTGGTGGTGGTGATGATGATGATGATGATGATGATGAGGATGATGATGATGATGATGACGGTAGTGGTGGTGATGATGGTGAGGATGTGGATGTGGATGTGGATGAGGATGAGGATGCTTATGAAGAGGGGGAGGATGAGGAGGAGGAGGAGGAGGAGGGGGAAACGAGGATGGTCTATGATAAGGATGATGATGATGATGATGATGATGATGATGATGATGATGAGGGTGATCTTAGGATGATGAGGATGAGGACTGGCTGCTGAGTGGGATTGATAAGATCCTGATGGAGATGATGATGATGATGATGATGATGATGATGATGATGATGATGATGATGATGATGATGATGGTTATGACTGTCATGATGATGATGTTGATGGTGGTGGTGGCGCTGAGGATGATGATGCCGATGGTGACGAGGCTGAGGATGTTACTGACGATGGTGACGATGCTGCTGATGATGCTGATGATGTTGATGACGACGATGATGAAGGGGGAGGAGGAGCAGAATGAAGAGGTTGATCATGATGATGGTGACGATCATGATGGTAATGATGATGCTATGGTGGTGATGATTATGATGATGATGATGATGATGATGGTGATGATGCTGGTGATGATGCTGACGATGTTGATGTTGATGAGGAGGAGGAGGGTGATAATGATGATGAGGATGACGACGACGATGATGGCGATGATGATGATGCTGTTGTCGTTGTTGATAGCGATGGTGATGGTTATGGTGATGGTGGTGATGAGTATGATGATGCTGATCATGCTAATGCTGATACGGATGCTGGTTCGGATGTCACTGGTGTTGCTGCTTCTGCTGCTGCTGATGATGATAATGATGATGTTGATGATGATGATGATCATGATCATGATCATGATCATGATCATGATCATGATCATGATCATGATCATGATCATGATGATGATGATGATGATGATGATGCTGATGCTGATGCTGATACCGGAGTGCTGGATTAGCTGATGCTGAATGCTGATGATACGCTGATGATGATGATGTGATGATGATGATGATGATGATGATGATGATGATGATGATGATGAGGAGATTTTACCAGCACACAACACATATAATAATGTCTGCCGTATAGTTAAAGACACCAGAGCATGCACCCCTTTGGCTTTCATAGCGTCCAGGCCCCCAAGATTGCCCCACAGGCTCCCGAGAGGGCTCCAAGACGACCCCAAGACGGTCCCAACACGGCCCGAGGCCCCCAAGACAGCCCAAGAGGGCCCCAAGACGAGCCCCAGAGGGGTCCCAGAGGTGCAAGGCCATATTCAAATTCCGAGCTTTCGGCCCTGGAGGCTCCCAGGAGGCCCCACGAGGTCCCCAGGAGGCCCCAAGAGGCGCCCAAGAGGCCCCGAGAGGCCCCCCAGAGACTCCCAGGAGGCTCCCAAGAGGCCTCCAGGAGGCCCTCAGGAGGGCACCAAGAGGCAAAATTCGCTCCATTCCCTCAGGGAAGTGTACATGTTTCCCATATATATATATATATATATATATAGATATGTGTATATATATATATATATATATATGTACCTCTTTGGCTTTCACAGCGTCCGAGACGGCCCAAGAGGCCCCCAAGACTGCCCCACAGGCTCCCAAGAGGGCTCCAAGACGACCCCAAGACGGCCCGAGAGGCCCCCAAGACAGCCCAAGAGGGCTCCAGGACGAGCCCCAGAGGGGTCCCAGAGGTGCACAACCATATTCAAATTCCGATCTTTCGGCCCCAGAGGCCTCCAGGAGGCCTCAAGAGGTTCCCAAAAGGCCCCAAGAGGCGCCCAATCCATAGCCATTTTGGCTCAAGCCACCAGGGCTTAAAAAACTATTTCTAGCTCCTCCCCACTGCCGAACGAAACCAGCGCCAGGGCCACTCTCCCTTCCTCGGCGGCCTCGGGCGCATATGCGGCAAGCGCTGCGCGGGCCGCTCCTAGGCTGTGCTTTTGTCACGGCCGCCGCCAGCGGCCTCTCGGGCGCCACCCGCTCGTCGCTGGGCCTCGCCGGGACGGCGCCATCAGCGCCAGAGGACCGGGCCGAGGTCCACGCGGAGGCCTGCGCCGCGGGCGGCGCCGCGGGCGCCCGCGCCGCGGGGCCCAGCGGGCCCGGGGCCCCGGCCGAGCGGCGCCGTGGCGAGCGGGGCGGGCACTGCTGGGCACTCTGGGCGCGGGGCGAGGAGCAGTCCAGCCAGGTCGTGAACGCCAGGGACAGCACCGCGGTGGGCCCCTGGGCCACCGACGCTGCCGGCGCGGAGGTCCCGGCCCGGATGCTCTGCGCGGAGGAGCTCACGCGGCGCGCCCTGCTGTCCCCGAGCTGCGCGGAGGGGGCCTGCGCGTGCACCCAGCTGGGTCGCACCAGTTGCTCGTGTCGTGCGGTCATGGCCGCGTCGCGGGCGCGGCTCATGCTGAAGCACGCAGAGTGGCTCGCCGACCACGGCCACGCCAGGGGCGCGGAGGTCCGCTTCCAGGAGGCCAGCCGTGAGGCGGCGGAGCACGGCCAGGCGGCGCTCGTACACAGAGCCTCTGCGCGGTTGGGGCACCTCCTCTCGAGGCGGGGCCGCTTCGCGGAGGCGCTCGAGGCCCTCCTCGAGGCCCAGCGGTTCGGAGACCTCGCCCTGGAGGAGGAGCGCGACCCGGCCACGCCGTGGTTGCTCGGGGTGGCTTGGTTGCAGGCAGCAAGATGCGGCGCGGCGAAGTGGCAGGAAGCGGAAGAGTGGATCCTTAGTTTGGGCCCGCTCGCGGCGGACGGGCTCGACGCGCAGCGCCAGAGGCTCCAGGCGGACATCCGCTTCTGGCGGGTCGCGGAGCTGTCCCCGAGGCGCTGCGTAGACGCTGGCGATGTCGCGCACGCGCTGATCTGCTTCGGGAGCCATTTGTTCTACGCCGTGACGCGATAGTGGCAGAGGAAGGGGAGCTGGGAGTGTTGGACGGAGGGGCAGGGACGCTCAATATCCAGCACAGCGCTGCTCGAGACCAACAGGAGTGTCGAGACAGGATCCGCTGGCCGCGTGCATTTGTAGTTTCCGTTCTATATATTGCATCAGGGAGTGACTTGTCATTCCTTGCTCATTTTGATTTTGCCGTGGACAACCAGGGGGGCTGGGGCTCGGACTTGTTTTGTTGGGGTCCTGGCGGGCTCACGTAGAATAGTCATTCGCGGGGCTGTGGGTGCTTCTTTGGGCGCCCAGAGTCTCTTCATTTTGCCCCAGAGTCTCCTCCTGGTGTCCCATCCCGCAGACTCGATGCCTAGGTCAGTTGATTGCTCGGGTTAGCTTGACTCCGACGACTGGCATAATCTGGAGCACTTGCGGCACATAATGGGCTTGCATAGCTTCAGCGTAAAGATTTGTAGGTTGAGCCCTTCGCGTTCTGGTAATCTCCAGTGCTCTTCAAGATCAATCGTGGGTTCATACCAGGTTGCTGCGGAACGGCGTGATCTGACTCCATGCGGCCCATGGTGTATCTGCACTGCCGAGCACGCAATCCGAAACAAAAAAAGCGGCCCAAAGAGGCGTCCAAGAGGCCCCAAGAGGCCCCCCAAAGACCCCCAGGAGGCTCCCAAGAGGCCTCCAGGAGGCCCCCAGGAGGGCCCCGAGAGGCAAAATTCGTTCCATGTCCTTCAGGAAACGTACATGTTGCGCATATGTACCTCTTTGGCTTTCACAGCGTCCGAGACGGCCCAAGAGGCCCTCAAAGCTGCCCCACAGGCCGCCAAGAAGAGGGTCCCAAGACGGCCCGAGAGGCCCCCAAGACAGCCCAAGAGGGCCCCAGCACGAGCCCCAGAGGGGTCCCCAGAGGTGCAAAACCATATTCAAATTCCGAGGTTTCGGCTCCAGAGGCTCCCAGGAGGCCCCAAGAGGTCCCCAGGAGGCCCCAAGATCCCCCAAGAGGCCCCAAGAGGCCCCCAAGAGGCCCCCAGGCGGCTCCCAAGGGGCCTCCGTGAGGCCCCCGGGACCTCGAAGTCGCTCTTGAGAGGCTTCTAAGATGCCTTCAAGCCCCTCCCAAGAGGGCCCACACTGGCCTTCTGGTGATAATGACGAAGGATGTGATGAAAGAACATCGTCGAGGGGTATCATGGCGATGATCAGGATGATGCGAAGATGGCGGTGGCGACGATGAGAGGAGGGGAATGATCATGAAGGTGGGTACTATAACGATGGTGATGATGCTGATGATGATGACGATGCTGGTGGTGATGATGATGATGATGGTGGTGGTGGTGATGATGGTGAGGATGAGGATGTGGATGTGGATGAGGATGAGGATGTTTATGAAGAGGGGGAGGATGAGGAGGAGGAGAAGGGGGAAACGAGGATGGTCTATGGTAAGGATAATGATGATGATGATGATGAGGAGCAGGAGGAGGAGGAGGATGAGGAGGGTGATCTTAGGATGGTGAGGATGATGTCTGGCTGCTGAGTGGGATTTATAAGATCCTGATGGAGATGATGATGATGATGATGATGATGATGATGATGATGATGATGATGATGATGGTTATGACTGTCATGATGATGATGTTGATGGTGGTGGTGGCGCTGAGGATGATGATGCCGATGGTGACGAGGCTGAGGATGGTACTGACGATGGTGACGATGCTGATGATGATGATGCTGATGATGTTGATGACGACGATGATGAAGGGGGAGGAGGAGCAGAATGAAGAGGTTGATCATGATGATGGTGACGATCATGATGGTAATGATGATGCTAATGGTGGTGATGATTATGATGATGATGATGCTGGTGATGATGCTGACGATGTTGATGTTGATGAGGAGAGGGAGGGTGATAATGATGATGAGGATGACGACGACGATGATGGCGATGATGATGATGTTGTCGTTGTTGATAGCGATGGTGATGGTTATGGTGATGGTGGTGATGAGTATGATGATGCTGATCATGCTAATGCTGATACGGATGCTGGTTCGGATGTCACTGGTGTTGCTCCTTCTGCTGCTGATGATGATAATGATGATGATGATGATAATGATGATCATGATGATGATGCTGATGTTGATGCTGATGCTGATGCTGATGCTGATGACGATGACGCTGATGATGGTGGTGATGATGATGATGGTGATGATGATGACAATGATGGTGATGGTGATGGAAATGGTGATGATGATGATGATGACGATGACGATGACGATGACGATGACGATGATGATGATGATGATGATGATGATGATGACGATGACGATATGACGATGACGATGATGACGATGATGATGATGATGACGATGATGACGATGATGACGATGATGACGATGATGACGATGATGATGATGATGGTGATGGTGATGGTGATGGTGATGGTGATGGTGATGGTGATGGTGATGGTGATGGGTGATGGTGATGGTGATGGTGATGATGATGATGGTGATGGTGATGTGTGATGATGATGATGACGATGATGACGTGATGAACGACGATGACGACGATGACGACGATGATGTGATGATGATGATGATGATGATGATGATGATGATGATGATGATGATGATGATGATGATGATGATGATGTGATGATGATGATGATGATGATGATGATGCGGCGAGGCAGGATCAGGACAGCCGTCACACGTGTCATATTCCGTTTTTGCTTCTGGAGGAGCTTCCAAGAAGCCCATTTGGGCGGTTTTTGGGCCGTCTGGGGCTTTCGTGAGGCAGTTGTGGGAGACTTTCGGATCTTTTTTTGGCCAGCCCTCTTAGCCCTCTTTCAGGCGATCGCAAACATGGATCAAGGGGGCATGGATTAGCGACGGGTCCCGTTTCCATGAGGAATCGCGGATTCCCGCCGCCGAGCGAGGCGACAATTTGCCGTATTTTGGGGAGGGCAGTTCTCCGGATCCATGGATTTGGCGACCGCGCGCCAAATCCATGGATCGCTAATCCATGTTTGCGCGCCCCCGACTCTTGGGGCCCTCTTGCAATGGTTTGAGGCTCTCTGGGGCCGTCTTGGGGCCCTCTTGACTGTCTGAGTTGGGGGGTCTTTTGCGGTCGTCGATGGGCCGTATTTGGGCCGTCGATGGGTTCTCCAAGGCCGCCTTGCGCCGTATAGAGGCTTTCTTGGGCTGCCTTGAGACCGTCGTGGAGGATTCTTTGGCAATTTGGGGGCAGTCTTGGGGCCATAGTAGTGGATACCTTGAGGGCCGTCTGGAGCAGAAGGGAGCCCGAACAGGTGAAGACGCCGAAGACTTTTGCATTCGCCTCTTCGGGCCTTACTGGGGGTTCTCTTGTGGCCCTCTTGGGACTATTGGGGGGCGTCGTGGGCCGTTTTGAGGCCACCCTGGGCCGATTTGGAGCCATCTTGAGCCGTTTCGGAGGCGTCGTTGGCCATCTTGGCGGCCTTGGTTGCCTGTCTTGGCCGTCTTGTGAGCTCGGGGGGGAGGAGGGAAGAGAAGGACAAATGCATGGAGAAGCGAACAGCTGCCCCCCTCTGCAGGCCCGAGTGCACTTGGCATAGAACGGAGTGTTTTTGTTCCCGTGGGTTCGAACGCCATGTTGGCATTGGCGTTTGGACAGCGCGGGAAGATTATTTGGCTTCCGCCGCACCGCCAACCCCTTGGGGGAGAGTCGCTGTTGCGGCTTCTGGGTGCTGCGTGTCCCTCAGCGGCGCGGGCTCAATGATCCAACAGCCGTCATTGCTGAGAGCACGACGCAGGCCTCTCACAGCACACCTTTAGCGAGCATGCGCAGGTGCTGGACTCCTTGTTTGCCGCCGCGTCTGCACTAGTATGTTTCCTTGGTGCCCTGCCAGCGAGCAGGTCGAGGCAGTTGCGCCCCCTCAGTGGATTGAGCAGATCCGTGTAATGAGACAAAAAAGAGAGCCCAAGACCGCACAAGAGCGTTTCAAACTTGGTCCAACATGGCTTGAAGACAGCCCAAGAGGGCTTCAAGACAGCCAAGGTGCCCTCAAAAGGACTCCCACGAGGCACTCAGGAGGCGAAACAAGTAAGTTATTTCCAGGGTTGTTGAAGGTTTTTCGCGTGTTCTCGCTGTTTCGTGCTTCCGACGGTCCAAGACAGCCCACGAGGCCCCAGAAGTCAGCTCAAGACGGCCCAAGAGGCATCCAAAGAGGGCGCCACGACGGCGCAAGAGAGTCCTAAGCCGGCCCAGGAGCGCCCCAAGACGGCCCAAGAGGCGCCCAAGATCGCCCAAGGGGGCCCAAACAACAGGGGTCCAAGAGGGGGAACACGAACCGACAATTCGAGCCTTCCGCCCCAAGAGGCCCCCAGGAGGCCCCAAGAGGCCCCCAACAGAGCCCAAGAGGCCCCCAAGAGGCTCCACGAGGCCCCAGAGAGGCCCAAAAGACTGCCTTCAAGAGGCTTCCCAAACTGCCTCCAAATCATGGCATGGCATTGCATTGCATTGGATAGTCCGGCATACCGTGTCTGTGCATACCATGGAACGTGGCAGCATCGCTCTTCATAGAAACATATCATGACATGTATAGTATCATAGCATTTCACAACACAGCATGGCATGTCATGCAATGCGCACTGTAAAGTATATCATGATACTGCATTGCAGACTGCATCGTGCCATTGCGCTTATAGCATTGCGTGGTGCATCATGGCATTTATCATAGTGCAATATGGCGCTCTAGCGCTGCATTTTTCCTGTCCCACAGCTTGGCGACAGATCACCGGTCGACCGGTCGATGATAACGGAGGAGGAGGACTGAGGAAGAGGCAGGAGGATGACCGCCTTGTTGCTCTCAATGCGGTCAGCATTCGAGCAGCTAGAACCTAACCCTCAAGGGCGGTCCCGGCAAAGCGAGAGCGTTTTGACTACGCGTTTCTTTGCGTCGATGGCATGGGCCCGAGAACGCTGGAAATCGTCGTTCTGACCACACCAGGGCTTACAGCGGCAGCTGTGCCTCATCTGCGACCAGAAACTAAGCGCGCGCGTAGCGCGCGCGTGGTTCTAGTGTGTATGTATGTACGTACGTACGTACGTACGTATGTACGTATGTGCGTATGGACGTATGTACGTATGTACGTCTGTCTGTCTGACTGACTGACTGTCTGTATGTCTGTCTGTCTGTCTGTCTGTCAACATTCCCGGGTGCGGCTCGGGAAACCAGCGCGCCTTCCGTGAGTGCCGAACGGCGGAGGACGTGCATTTGGATCCGGTGCGCGATGAGAGCGACATGGCCGTCGAGGAGCCAGCGAGCCGCCGCCCGCGCCGAGCGGCAAGCTGGGCAGTCGCCGTCCAGCCGCAGTCAACACGGCCCGCCACCTGCAAAACGTGCGGGCTCGTGTTCGGCGCTGGCGAGCTCCGCGTATGCCCATCGGGCGTTCGCGCAAGTGCGCGGTGGGAGTGCGCAAGCTGCTTGCTTGGCGGGGTCCCCGCCGCCAGATGCGGAGTTCAAGCCCCACGGGCGCTCAACCCAGGAGCACGCGGACGCAGCCCAGATGCGTGTGCAAGCGGGACACGATGAGGTGGGAAGACGCCCTCAAGGCTGGCACGACGACGTTTGTGCAGGTCTCGGGCTGTTCCCGGGGAACCCTGCAAGAGGCGCGGCACAAGGCCGTTCGAGGTCCTCAAGTTTGCGCGTGCGCGTTCGGAGGCCGAGCGGGAATGAGGGTGGACCTCTTCATGGACATGCTCCTGTTGTCTAAGTCGTCTGACGCCGCTCGAAGAAAGGATCGCGTGGTTCTGGGGCGGGCAGTGGGTTGCCCTCTCGGTTTCCGCTCGGGCTGGCAGAACAGTCCCGAGGAGAAGCCGCGAGAAGACCGACAAACAGCGCGCGGCACGGGTTCACACTTTCGCCACTTTCGGGGAAGAAGGGGCGAGCGCTGAGGGCAGCCACCACCGCGAAGCTCGCCCCGCGAACGCCTGAGACCTTACGAAAGGTCCTTGATTGCTTCCCCGTGGACGCTGCCGCGCCGGCCGCGCTGGCCGCCCGCGAGGTCCCAGACGACGAGCTGTTCGAAAACGGCGCAGGAGGAAATCCGGCATTTCCTGCGGGGACCAGCCCGGCTCACGGCGCCATGTCTGTTCGGAACGAACAGCAGCCGCCAGCAAGGAGACGCTGCAGCTCCTCTCAGAGGCGGTCTCCTGGGTGACCTTTGGCCTTTTTCCTGCTGGGGCGCTGAGGGCCTTGCGGGTCGACGAGGTCATCGCCCTCGAGAAAGGGGAGGACGAAGTCCGGCCTCTCCTGGTGAGCTCGGCCAGGCGGCGAGTCGGCCTGCGGGCGCTGGTCTGGGTCCGAGTTCACCCGGGTCCGAGATCAGCCCATTCCTTGGGGCCCGAAGTACATTGACGGCTCGGGAAACGGTTGGTCTGGCTTCAGCAGGAGCACCGCCTCTCTCCCTCAGTGCTGCATGAGCCTTGGGGCATTCCAATTCGTGCAAGAGGCACGGTGGCGGATCTGAAAGGGTATGATTGTGGGAGGGGGCTTGCAGGAGTAGCGCAAGCATCAATACTGGATCCTCGATCAACGAGGGGGGGACCCAGGAGGAGTCGAAGGAAAGACGGAGGAATAGGGGGAGGAGGAGGAGGGGCGTCATTGCCCATAGACGGGCGGTTCGATGAGAGTTGGGGGGAGATTGAGAGAGCGAGAGAGAGAGAGAGAGAGAGAGCGAGAGAGAGAGAGAGACAAAGAGAGAGAGAGATAAACATATAGATAATGTGATATATATATATATATATATATATATATATATATAGAGAGAGAGAGAGAGAGAGAGAAAGAGAAAGAGAGAGAAAGAGAGAAATAGAGACATAGAGGAGAGATGAGAGAGAACGAGAGAGAAAGAGAGAGAGAGAGAGAGATCGGGGGAAAAAGAGAGAGAGAGAGAGAGAGAGAGAGCGAAGAAGAGAAAGAGAGAGAGAGAGACGCACACGCACCACAAGTTAGCAACATATTTGCTGAGGGGGCGCCTATCCAACGAGACCTGTTCGTTCCCAGGCAGGAGGAGGAGGAAGACAAAGAGGACAAGGGGAGAAGGAACGGAGGACAAGGAGGACGGGGACAAGGAGGACGAGGGGGAGGAGGAGGAGGAGGAGGAGGAGGAGGAGGAGGAGGAGGATAATTGTAAACCCAAGGCGCATCCACGATGCTGAAAACATCCCGTTCCAACTTCATAGGTCCCTAAAACAGGTTTTTGTGTTGCGGGAAGTGGCCTCTCAGAAGACAGCCGTCTGATAAACTTCCATCGTGCCAAAACACCGCTCTTGGGACTTCAGCGCCGCGGATTTCCATGACTGTTGCGTCTTGGCAATCCTTCGATCGTGACAGAAGACCATTCGTGGGACTTCGGCCATACGAATCCTTGAAACTGCTGCGAATGTTTAAGGCGAGCTTGCGCGGTTGACCAAGGAGCCGCCCTCCAGTTTTGAAATTCTTACAGTCTTTTAAGTCGAACGTGCGCGGTGCCACGGCGAGAGCCACATTTTGAAAAGGAACCGCCCTCCATTCATGAACCTGCTGTAATTTCTTTAGAGGAATCTGCGCGGCGATAAGGCGAGAGTCACACGGGGAAATCGAATCGTTCTCCATCAGTGAAACGGTTGCAAACTTTTACCGCGAATGTTTACGGCGCTAAGCTAAGACGATAATCACATTTTGAAAACGCCCCGCGCTCCATTAGTGAACATGCTGCGAACACTCAAGGCGTGCGTGAGCTGCGCAAAGGTGGGGGCCATTGTTTGAAAACGATCCGCCCTCCATCCGCGAAGCCTTTGCAAACTTTAAAGACGAATGTGCGCTGTGGTACGTTGGGAACCACATTTTGAAAACGGCCCGCCTTCATCCGTGAAATTGCTGTTATTTTCCAGCCTCAGGATCATGGGTGCGACAGGGAAAAAAAAGACAGAGGAGGACGGAAAGGAGGAGCAGGAGGAGGCGGACCAGGGCGAGGACAAGGACAACGAAGAGGCCGAAGAGGAGGAGGAGGAGGAGGACGAAGATGAGGTGGAGGAGGAGGAGGAAGAGGAGGAGGAGGAGGAGGAGGAGGAGGAGGAGCAGAAGGAGGAGGAGGAAGGACGCGGATGAGCGGAATAGGAGGCAGAATAGGAGGAGGCGGAATAGGAGGAGGAGGAGGAGGAGGAGGAGGAGGAGGAGGAGGAGGAGGAGGAGGAGGAGGAGGAGCCTGGCCCCGCGCCCCAGGTGGATCCGGCAGAGGCAGATCCCGCGCACTAAGGAGGGCGGCCTGCCGACGCTGGCGCGGGGCGCAGCGTTCCGCCGCGGTGCCGTCGCGGGCGGCGCGGAGTGGTCTAGTTCGATCAGGGCGTGTGTCATTCTAGGAGTATGAAAGAGAGAGAGGAGGAGACAGGACGAGGAGGAGGAGGAGGAGGAGGAGGAGACAGGAGGAGGAGGAGGAGGAGGAGGACGAGGAGGAGGAGGAGGGGCAGGAAGAGGAGGAGGAGGAGGAGGCAGGAGGCAGGAGACATGAGGCAGGAGGCAGGAGGCCGGAGGCAGGAGGCAGGAGGCCGGAGGCAGGGAAGGATGTTGGAGGGGTGGCATCTCCAAGGCCCTCGCCACTCCTGCTGCAGCCACCCCGACCGCGCCCGAGGCCCCACGCGCGCGCACGGCACTGGGCACCAGCCGCCAGCGCTGGGCCGGGCCGGGCCGGGCCCGGTGCTCGGCATTGGGAGGGGCCCAGCGCCTCTTTCGGCTCTGGCGGGTATATTCGCGCTGAGGCATTCAGAGAGGGCCTCGCCTTCGAGGATACAAGGAGTTGAAGTCAAAGCTCCTCGGAATCACCATCGAGCCCCACGAGATGCGCCTCGAGCTCCCAGGGAGGACCTCGACGTCTTCCTGTCGCCGATTTGGGGGGATCTGCGCCCTCCACGTGAGGCATTCAAGAAAGGACAGGACCTCGCGTTCGAGGGTCGAAGGAGTTGATATGTCTTCCTCGGCGGAAGGCGGCGGACGTAAAACGCAGCCGCCTCCGCCCGCGGCAGCTCAGCGGAAGCCAGCAGAAGTGCATATATATATATATATATATAGGCCGTCCAAAACTTTGCAAGGCTTATTGATTCAGGGGGGTTCTGAGCCCGCTGCACGGAGGGGGAGGGTAGGGGGCGTGGCGAGGACCGAAAGAAAGTCTGGACGGCAAGCAAGTCGGGACTCCCTTGCACGCCCTTTCGTGACAGTGCCGTTCGAAACGGTGGCGGAGGGCCCGGGGGGCGAAGTCCATGCAAGTAAATGTGCAGGAATATAAATCACAAGCGCGTTCTTGGCACAGCACCGGGCTCCAGCAAGGCCTGGCCTCGATCTGTTGCCTCGAACAGGAAAAAACTGCATAAACACATTTTCGACGGTCCGCGCGGATTTCTTGGATCGGCGCTGGGCCCCCCTGGCGGCGCCTCCAGCGTCGTCCCTGGCGCGCTCCTCGCGCGAGGGAGGGGGATCAGCGCCCATCCAAGACATCCGCGCGGACCCCCGACAATGCATCTTTACAGCAGGTTTTTGTTCTTGGGAGGCCCAAAGGTTGGCACCAACACCAGTATCGGCGGTTGCCACCACCGAAACCAGATGTGCTTATGTAGTTTTTAGTTCCTCTAACGAGGCACGGAGCACCAGGCGGCGGCACGGCCTGCAGCCAGCCTCGATCTGCTGACAGTCTCCCACTGTGTGCTCGCATGTTTACGCCCCGGATAGAAACGGGTCCTGTGGGTGTTTACCGTTTTCTGATTCTCGGGGCCGTCCACGAGCAACGGGACTATCAGAGCACGACTTGGGACGAAAAGTGGGCCCTTGGGAAGGTCCCGAGGTCTACGACCCGGTTCCCTCATGGTTCAGGACCGGTTTGCTTCGTGCCAATCGCGTTGGGCTTTCTCTTCTCCTCTGCCTCCTTTGAGATTGCTTGTTCATCCTCTGGCGCGTAACGGTTGCTACCCGGGCCAAATCCCTCGCCCCGCCCCGGGTAACAGTAATAACCGTGCGTTGGGGGCGGGGGGGCTTGGACCCCCCCCTACCACATATATTGGCGCTCGCGCGCCTACTGTGGCGTTCGCAGCGCACCCCCGCCCCGCCTCAGCGTTACCATCACCTGGGGCCCCAATCCCCTTGCGCCCCTCCGCTCCCCCCCAACAAAAATGGCGAGAGACCCAACCAAATGCAGTTGTGAGTACCGTCGTTGTGTGCACCGCATTCGGAGGAGCGCCCTATAGGGCCGCGAAACGCGTAAGAGGTGTGCCAAAATGGGCGCGGTGGGCGCATGCGAACGCAGCCATTGCCGCCGTCGGTGGAGCTCCCTTTGGGGCCACGAAGCGTGTGAGGGGTGTGCCAAAATGAGCACGGTGGGCGCATGCGAACGCAGCCACCGGGGCCGTCGGTGCAGCTCCCCGTGGGGCCATGAAACGTGTGAGGGGCGTGCCAAAATGGGTGCGGTGGGCGCATGCGAACACAGCCACCGGGGCCGTCAATTGAGATCCCTTTGCGGCCGCAAATCTTCTGAGGGTATGCCAACATGGGTGCGGTGGGCGCCTGCGAACGCAGCCTCCGGGACCGTCGGTAGAGCTCCTATTACGGAACCGCTAAACGAATGAGGGTAGTGCCAACATGGGTGGGGTGCGGTGGGCGCATGCGATGCAGCCATTGGGGCCGTCGGTGAAGCTACCCATGAGGCCACGATACTTGTGAGGGTGTGCCAAACATGGGTGCGTTGAGCGCATGCAAACGTAACCAAAGGCCACAAAACGTGTGAGGGTTTACCAAAATGGGTGCGGTGGGCGCATGCGATCGCAGCCACCGGGGCCGTCGGTGGGGCTCCCTATGGGGCCACTAATCGTGCGAGGGGTGTGCCAAAATGGGCGTGGTGGGCGCATGCGAGCGCAGCCACTGGGGCCGTCGGTGCAGCTCCCTATGGGGCCACGAAACGTGTGAGGGGTGTGCCAAAATGGGTGCGGTGGGCGCATGCGAGCTCAGCCACCGGGGCCGTCGGTGCAGCTCCCTATGGGGCCACAGAGCCTGTGAGGGTTTGCCGAGATGGGCGCGGTGGGCGCATGCGAACGCAACCACCGGGGCCGTCGGTGGAGCTCCTGTTATGGGGCCACGAAGCGTGTGAGGGGTGTGCCAAAATGGGTGCCTCGGGCGCATGCGAACGCAGCCACCGGGGCCGTCGGTGGAGCTCCCTATGGGGCCACACAACGCGTGAGGGGTGTTCCGAAACAGAGACATGCGGATGGCAGAGGCAAGGATGGGAGGAGGGATGAGGGGGAGGAATGAGAAGGACGACGTGGTGGGAGGGGCGCGGGTCGCTGTCTCTTCAAAACGCGGACCCAACACCACCAGACGGTTGGGAATGATGATGCTGATGCTGATGTTGATGCTGATGCTGATGGTGCTGCTGCTGCTGATGATGCTGATCATGATGATGATGCTGATCATGATGATGATGATGATGATGATGATGATGATGATGATGATGATGATGATGATGATCATGCTGATCATGCTGATCATGCTGATGTTGATGCTGATGATGCTGATGCTGGTGATGATGCTGATGTTGATGAGGATGAGGATGAGGATGCGGATGAGGATGATGAGTGTGATGATGCTGTTGATGCTGATGCTGGGGATGATGATGAAGATGATGATGATGATGATAATGATGATGATGATTATTGTTATGAGGATGATGATGATGCTGATGATGATGATGATGATGATGCTGATGCTGATGATGATGATGATGATGATGATGATGATGATGGTGCTGGTGCTGGTGCTGGTGCTGATGATGATGCTGATGCTGATGCTGATGCTGATGCTGATGCTGATGCTGCTGATGATGATGATGCTGATGCGGATGCTGATGCTGCTGCTGATGATGCTGCTACTGATGATGATGATGATGATGATGATGATGATGATGATGATGATTATGATTATGATGAGGATGAGGATGACATGCGAAAGGGATGAGGGCGGAGAGGGAGGAAGGAGGCAGGAACGCGGGGCGCTGTGTCTTCAAAACGAGGACCCAACACCACAAACATGTTGGCATGGGGAATGGGCGTCCGAGCGATGGCGAGTGTTTTCTTTCCACTCCCAGAACATGTCCGCGTCCACCGCCTCAGAGTCGTGCCCTGGCGCCCGAGGAGTGGTTGATGTGGGCATGCGCCCGCACGGGCGGGCAGATATCCACATCCACCGCTCCCCGAGCGCTGGGGCACGGCCTCGCGGCAGTAAAGTTGGACATGCTCTGAGGGCGCACCGCCTCTTCGACCTATTCTCTGCGACCCTCGTTGCTCCAAAGGTTTCCCGATCCATCGTCGGGGCGCGGCAGAGATCCGTCGAGGTCCTCGCCCGCCGCATCCCCCCAAGCGCGGATTGCAAACCACATCTTCTGCAAACTACACCCCTCGGAGTCGCTGAAGAGTGACGACGCACGGCGCGACGAGCATGCAGTCAAGGCTTGGAGTCGGTTTGGGGTTTGACGTGGCCCAGCACTACTTAGATCCAGGGTGAAAATCTGCACCAGATGGACCCCAGGAGAAGTCCAGGGACCGATTTCGAGCGGATTTGCCCTTACAGTATCATCCCTTCCTGACCAATGTTCTTGGGGCTCATCCAGTTCAGACCCCCCAGCCGCCTCCAAGTGGAGTCCCATTCCCATCGTTGAGGGAGGAAGCGCGATGACCATGACCAAGATGCGGCGAGATCCTGGTGACGCCGATCTCAGTCGTGGTCCATGTCGGCCATCGCCGATTCGCGAGGCCGATCCACGAGTCGACGATGACCAAGATTGACGATGACCAAGATCGGCACCGACGTTTCCGTGTTCAGCCTTGGTCATTGTAATCGTTTGGAGGCGGCCGGGGGTCTGAGTGGGATGGGCCCCGAGAAAATCGGTCAGGAAAGGGAGATGAGGGCAAATCCGCTGAAAACCGGTCCCCGGACCCCTCCTGGGGTCCATCTGGTGCAGCTGTTCATTCCGAATGCGTTTTTGACGGTGGCCGAGGCGTGGCTCCTGATGGCCGTGCACGTCTGCTCCCTGAAGGAGACGCACGAGCAGGCGCCTCCACGGGTCGGTGCTCGAGGGTGGAAGGGCACCGACCATGACCATCAGGGGTAACGACAGGGGGGGGGGGACTAGGCAAGGGGGGTTGCGCATCGACCCCCGATCGCCCACTGATCGCCTACGGGGGCCCGATAACCCCAGACTGCCCAAGAACGTGCGGATTCACTAACTATCGGGGGCCTATTGCCGATCTGTCGGCGATGTACCGCCGATTCCGAGGAGGAAAAGATACCGCTGCTGCTACCCTCGCCTCGTTTTCGCCATTTTGGGCCTCCCGGGAGGCCCTCGTCGACACCGCTGGATTCGCCTTGAAATTCGTGTCAAAACGCACCCTGGGAGAGGTCCAGGGAGTAGCGGTATCGGTACCTGTTGGTTTCCCAAAAGATGTCGCGGGATTTTGTCAACGCCCATTTTGGTCATGGTCCATGCTGGCCGTCGCCGATTCGCGAGGATAATGCACGCATTGATGTTGACCAAGATGGACGGTCACCAAGGTCGGCACCACGTTTCTGCGTGCAGTCTTAGTCACGGTCCCCGTTGTCTTCCTCTCCAGGTGTGGGCTCTCATGACGCGTAGCGGTCAAGCGGTGGCGAGGGGTCTTGGCTTGTTTGTAGACCCGCAGAGGAATGTTCTAAGAACCTTTGGCTGTGGTCTGCACGACGTGTTCTCAGAGCATCTCTAGCCGAAGATCGGAACCCACACACGGTCGGTTCGTGTCGCGCGGACGCGGTGGCGACCCGGCACGGGCGTTCAAAGTTGAGCACCGCTGGTGGCCCAGAGTCAGCCAGCATGGAACGATCGAGGCCGTCGATCGTTCGAGGCTGAGCCATCCACAGCGTGTCAGCAGCCAGCGCCAAGGTCGTCACGACACGGACCGTGCCGTAATGGGGGCCAGCCGATCTCCTCTGGCTGACCCGGGTTTGGGAGCCACGTGGGGGCGGTTCCCCTTCGCCGCTCTCCGCTGACCTGGGTGCTGGGAGCTACTGAAGCGGCTGGCCAGGCTTCGCGACGGAGCCTTGACCGACCCGGGTTTGTGCTGACCCGGTTTAGTGCGTCCCCCGAGAAGAGCGACATCGCTTCATGAGCGGAAATTGTCGGAGGTCTACGCGGAATTCTTTCGGTGGCGCGCCGAGGGAGGGGGAGGCCCTTCTCAGAAGGCGGCGGGGTCTCGGAGAAGGCTCAGACCGAGCTGCTCAGAAGACCGGGGGCCTTTCGAGCCTTCTGCGAAGGCCCCCCATGGGCGCACCGCCGAGCTGCTGAGCTGGGCCCCCTCCCAGCGGCGCCTCCGGCGCTGGCCTTGGCGCGCTCCGCCGACCCAAGGAGTTCTCGCGGACCTCTGGCAGTTTGTGCTGCCTATGTCGTTGGTCTTCGTCTTCTTCCTGCTATCGCTATCATAGAGTTCCTGACCCCCGTGTCTACGCTACCCCCGTCGACAGCGTCGTCTCGAGGATCCGTGCTCCTGTGAATCTGGATCCTCTCAGGGGGCCCTATTTTTTTGCGCGCATCCAGAGGGGGGTACGGTAGGTTCGCGTCGTGTCGACCGCCGGCGACCCCGCCGGGGGCGTCCAACGTTGAACGCCGCCGGCGACCCAGAACCGGTCGATGTTGAACGATCTGACGTTTCGGAAACGGCCGATCGTTCAAGATTGAACGATCATCCTCGCAGTGTCAGGAACCAATTCTAAACGCTTCGCGTATCCCCACCAGCCCGTCCAGAAATGAGTCCCAGGGGACTGGAGGTGATGAGGGAAGCGGGGGAGCATGCAGAGGAACAAAGGGCGGGGTAAGCCACCATATACCCCAAGAGGGGGAGGATGTAGGAGGAGTCGTCGTCGTCGGAGTAGGAGGAGGAAGAGGAGCAGGAGGAGGAGCAGGAGGAGGAGGGGGAGGAGGAGGAGGAAGATGAGGAGGAGGAGATGGAGGAGGGCGAGAACGTGGAGGACGAGAAGGAGGAGAAGGAGAAGGAGGAGGAGGAGGAGGAGGAGGAGGAGGAGAGCGAGGGGGAGGAGGGAGGAGGAAGAAAAAGAGGAGGAGGACAATGGCGAGCTTGGGGGCCTCGTGGGCCGTCTTTGGGATCTCTTGGCGGTCCTGGGGGCCTCTTGCGTATCTCGGGGAGCCTGTTGGGGCCTCTTGGGGGTCTCTTGGGAGCCTCTTGGAGGCCTCTTGGGCGCCTCTTGGGGCCTCTTGGGGCCCTCTTGGGGCGCTCTTGCCCCTCTAGAGCGCCTCTTGGTTCCCAAAAGAGGCCAAAATCCTTCCAAAACCTATGGAAATCAATGTTTTTGTTTGCTTTCCCGCCTTTTCGCTCTTGGAGCCGTCTTGGGCCATCTTGGACGCCGCAACGACCGGCAGAACCCCCCGTCCAGGTCTAGGGGAGGGGGTAGGGGGAGGGGTAAACCCCTCCCCGAAGGGGAAGAAGGGGGTTGGAAGAGGAACTCTCTAGACCACCGACGCCCAGAGGGCTGGTGGGATCCCGAAGTCGGCACGACACGAACCTACCGTATCCGAACGGTGGGTCTGGTCCGGTCGGTCCTGTGGGACTGGTCCGTGGGTCTGGTCGCGTCGGTCTGGTCCCGTCGGGTTGGTCCGGTCCGGTTTGGCCGCCATTGGGTCGCTTGGCGGGTCTGTCGGACGGGGCTAGGACGAGGATAAATCCGTTCCAGAGCGTTCTGGAACGCTCTTAGAGCATTCTAGAACGTTCTGAGAAGGCCGCGGCGCCCGATACATCCTCCAAACCCGCCGATTCTCAGAGGGTTCCGATCTATATTGGTCTGATGTTGTCTCGATTCTGCCTTCGTCTCAGGGTCTGGTCCAGTCGGTCTGGCCATCTCCTCGCTCAGGGCAGCAAGAGTGATCAAGAGCCCAGGGACGTGCCGCGAGGGCAGCCGAGGCGGTAGGGCCAGGACGGGTCCGTCGGGTCTGGGGGGCACCTCGGAAGCCCGGAGGCTGACACCAATCGGAGCATAGCGAACTGCCAGAGGAGCAGAAAGCTCAGAGGCGCTCCTGGAGGAGGCGCTCCTAGAGGAACCGCTCATAGAGAAGCGCTCCTCGGTTGTCCTTGGGAAGCGCTCCTAGAGGAGCAACAAAACGACATCGACATAAGCTCCGCGCATATTGCTCGGATCCGCGCTAGAGCCCCCTTGCGGCGCCTCCGCGCGCCAGGGAGGGGGGGTCCAGCGCCGATCCAAGAAATCCGCGCGGACCTTCAAAAGTTTATGTGTATGCAGTTGTTTGTTCCTCTAGGAGCGCTTCTCAAGCCGATCCTTCCCTCAGAGGCCTAGAGATTGCCACCGACACCAGTATCGGCGGTTGCCTCCACCGAAAGCAATGATCGTAATATCGGCGATGGTGGTAGCATTTCGGACGAACCCGAAGTCGATCCTCGAGCTCCTGGTTCGAAAGCTTCCCAGGAGAGGTCCAGTAGCTCAGTGAGTAGCGATATCGCTACCAGGCAGGACCCCCATCCAATCTGATCTCGATGCGCTTCGATTCGCCGGCCGGGTCCACGATTCCGATTCGATTCGATTCGGCTTGATTCACCGGCATCAACTGGGGCTAGCTCGAGCCAGGCGTTCACCGAGCGCGTTCCTCTACTGGTACAGTCCAAGTGCCTGCTCGCACACGTCCGAGAAACACATGGCTAGGCTTCGATGTAATGGATCGAAAATCCCCCGCGGCGGATCCAGGCCCTTTGCGAGTGGTTATTTTGCGAGTAGTGGAACGCGCTTGTCTAGGCGTGGTGATCCGATCCCGATTCGATTCGAGACGACTCGCTGGTGACCCGAGCCGGTTCCAATCCGATGTCGCGATTCGATCCAGCCCAGGCCTGCTAGGTGCGGCGCCAAGACAGCCGCGCCTCGCGGTCTGGCCTGGAGAGGTCTCCTTCCTCCCTGGGGGGCGGCGCGAGGGCGCGGCGCGAGGGCGCAGGGACAAAGCGCGCCTCGCGCGTCGTGCAGCGCGAGGGCGCGGAGCAGCACCCTCAGGGGGCATACGCTAGGCCACCACCGGGCCAGCTCGGGCCCGCCTGGTTACCCAGGGCGGGTGCACACAAAGAGCCCCCCCCGGGTCGCCCCGGGTCGGGCGTCTGCACGCACCCCGCGGGGCGGCGAGAACGCGTTGGTCTAGGCGTGGCGGTCCGATCTCGATCCGATTCGGGACGATTCGTCGGGCGCGGTGGTAAGCGCGCCTCGCCGCGCTTCGTGCTGCGCGGGGGCGCGAAGCGCCACCCAGCCGGGCCAGCTCAGGCCCGCCTCGGGCTGCAGTAACCCAGCTCTCCGACGACATGGTTGTTTCAACCGGCGGGTTTTCCTCGATTTCGGGGACCATCGAAAATGGGTCCGGGACGCAAAACTTCGGCGTTGAAATCCGAATTCTACCCTCAATTCGATGGGCGGCCGGGGTAGGGTCCTGAAGTCCCGAACACGTGACGAAATCTGAAACCCTGCGCCTGCCTAGGAGAATCGATGGTTGGTGGGGGTAGGGTTAGGATGCCACCACCTAGAACTGACCCCCAGGAAGGGGTCGAGACCTCTGGGAGCACGGATTGAGAAAATCACATCGTCGGACGCCCAGGCTTGGTGTGCTTAGAGAACCCGGGGGCCGCGCCGGGAGGGCGCGTGCATGCACGGGTCCCGGGGGACCCCGTTTTGAGTCTAAGGTGCCCAGGCGGGGGCGGGGCGCGAAGATGTAAGCGCGCTTCGCGCGTCACGGTCTGGGCCAGAGCAGCTGCCCTGTTCCAAGGAGAGCGGCGCGATGGCGCGAAGATCATCGCGCGTCGCTCCCCCGTGGGGCGCGAGGCTCAGCGCTGGGCGGCCTCAGTGGTATCACCTGTGCCTTGCCCGAGAAGCAAGGCGACCCTGTCGGACAAGGGTGTCTGGTAGGTTCGCGTCGTGTTCGGCGGCGACCCCGCCGCCGGCGTTCAACGTTGAACGCCGCCTGCGACCCAGAATCGGTCGATGCTGAACGATCTGACATTTCGTATAAGGCGGATCGTTCAAGGTCGAACAATCCCCGCGGTGCCAGGAACCAACGCCAGGGTCGACACGACACGAACCCGCGGTCTGCGGTTTGGTCAGTTCAGCTGCGTCGCGGTCGGCTGCTTTCGGCCAGTTCGAATCCGGTCGGTTGTTGTTCCGTTGCTGCGTCGCTGCAAACCTTGTGGGTTGCTGGCCGCCTGTCCGTATCAGTCGGCCTCGGTTTCGCTGTCGGTTGGGTCGGTTTTCAGTCGTGCTGTCGCAGTGATTGGCCTTGGCAGAGGAGAGGTTTAGGTTTGGAGCCGTCTGAGGGTCTGAAGTGGCCTAGCACTGGCTTCGGCGAGCAGGAAGGCCAGGCAGTTTCGAGGTTCTGGGTTCAGAATGGTTTTTTGCTTTTCTTGTACTCCTGGGGCCGTTTTCGGGCCCCGGACCGTGAGAAGCGGATCTGGGGTGAAAAACTGCACCAGATGACCCCGGAGGGTTCCAGGGACCGATTGCGAAGGCCTGACGGCCGGTGCCGCCGACCCTGTTCGCAATGCGCAGCAAGAGGCACGGGCTGTGGGATGGTTTGGGGGAACGGGGAGAAGGACGAGAAGGTGGGGGAGGGAGGTGTCGTATCTGACCCGGGACTTCCCCGGGACTCCCCCGGGACCCCCCCCGGGACCTCCTCTCCCCCCCCCGTCGGGGAAGGGAAAGGGAAGGGGCTTCCCTTCGACTCAATGACGACGTTGCTCAAGGTCGGTACGGGGGGGGGGCGTCGTATCTGACTCGGGGGGGGGTCGCTACCCCCCCCGCTACCCCCCCCCCCCTCCCGGCGGGGGAGGAATGAAAGGGAAGGGGCTTCCCTTCGACTCAATTACGAGGTTGCTCAAGGTCGGCTTGGCTGGAGCCCAGGGGAAGAGGAGTCCCAGGGGGGGGCGTCGTATCTGACCCGGGGGGGGGGTCGCTACCCCCCCCCCCCTCCCGGCGGGGGAGGGATCAAAGGGAAGGGGCTTCCCTTCGACTCAATTACGAGGTTGCTCAAGGTCGGCTTGGCTGGAGCCCAGGGGAAGAGGAATCCCAGGGGGGGCGTCGTATCTGACCCGGGGGGGGGGTCGCTACCCCCCCCCCCCTCCCGGCGGGGGAGGGATCAAAGGGAAGGGGCTTCCCTTCGACTCAATTACGAGGTTGCTCAAGGTCGGCTTGGCTGGAGCCCAGGGGAAGAGGAGTCCCAGGGGGGGGCGTCGTATCTGACCCGGGGGGGGGGTCGCTACCCCCCCCCCCCTCCCGGCGGGGGAGGGATCAAAGGGAAGGGGCTTCCCTTCGACTCAATTACGAGGTTGCTCAAGGTCGGCTTGGCTGGAGCCCAGGGGAAGAGGAGTCCCAGGGGGGGGCGTCGTATCTGACCCGGGGGGGGGGTCGCTACCCCCCCCCCCTCCACACAATTACCTCAAGGGCTTGGCTGGAGCCCCATCTGACCCGGGGGGGGGTCGGTCTTCCCTTCGACTCAATTACGAGGTTGCTCAAGGTCGGCTTGGCTGGAGCCCAGGGGAAGAGGAGTCCCAGGGGGGGTCGTATCTGACCCGGGGGGGGGTCGCTACCCCCCCCCCTCCCGGCGGGGGAGGGATCAAAGGGAAGGGGCTTCCCTTCGACTCAATTACGAGGTTGCTCAAGGTCGGCTTGGCTGGAGCCCAGGGGAAGAGGAGTCCCAGGGGGGGGCGTCGTATCTGACCCGGGGGGGGGGTCGCACCCCCCCCCCCCCTCCCGGCGGGGGAGGGATCAAAGGGAAGGGGCTTCCCTTCGATTCAATTACGAGGTTGCTCAAGGTCGGCTTGGCTCGAGCCCAGGGGAAGAGGAGTCCCAGGGGTCTGGGGTGAAAAACTGCACCAGATGACCCCGGAGGGTTCCAGGGACCGATTTTGAGCGGATTGGGCTTCATCCCCCCTCTCCTGACCGATCTCTTGGGGTCCCAACCAGTTGAGGCCCCCTCCAAGTTCGGTCGGTTTTCTGTCGTGCAGTCGCCGTGAACGGCCTTGGCAGAGGGGTGGCCTAGCTGTCACACCTGCGCCCTGCCCGAGAGGCACGGCGACCCTCCCTGTCAGGATGGAAGACCGCCCGCCCGGTCCTGCCTGAGCGCAGGCTGAGGCTGAGCTGCCTTCGCGGTGATTGTGGCTGCGCCTCACACCTGCGCCCTGCCCGAGAGGCAGGGCGGCCCTGGCGGTGTGGGAGGCCGCCGGAGCGCCGGCGCGCCCGCGGCGCGCGGGGCGCCGCCGGCCGCATGCCAGCAGGCCTGGCCGAGCCACACCGCGGGGCCCATGCTGGCGCTGCTGTCCTCGCTTACGGCGCGCGCGCTACCCCTGCGGGGCCTCCGCGCTGCGCGCGCTGCTCGCGCGCGCTGCTCGCGCGCGCCGCGCGCCGCCGCGGCTCCTTGGGGCGGGCTCCTCGTGCTTGCCTTCTCCTCTGCCTCCTCGTGTGGCGACGACGACGACGACGACGACGACGACGACGACGACGACGACGACGACGGGGACGAGGACGGGGACGTGGACGAAGACGACGACGGGGACGAAGACGACGACAGGGGACGACGGCGACGACGACGACGACGACGATGAGGACGGGGACGGGGACGGGGACGACGAGGACGGGGACGGGGACGGGGACGGGGACGGGGACGGGGACGACGACGGGGACGGGGACGGGGACGACGGCGACGGCGACAACGACGAACACGACGTGCACCACGACCGATTTCTGACCAAGCAGAGCTGTTCTCCAGAATTTGTTAAGGCGGCGGGTTTCGACAGCTGGCCCCTCATTCTCCCGCTCGCTCTCCCCGTCCTCGTCCTCGCCCGTGTCGTTTCGACCGCGACCCCTCCTCCCTCCCTCCACGAAAGGATCAAGGCCACGGAGGCCCAGACAGGCCAGGCCCGCTTGCCTTGTTTGTCTGATGCTGCTGTTGTGGTGCTGTCACCACGCGTCCTCTTGAGACGCCGTCACGATCTGTTGATCCTCGTCCCCTCCTCGTCCCCGTCTCCATCAACATCCCAAACCCGGCATCAGCAATGTGCACGTAGATACGTCAGCAGCGGCAGCGTTAGCAGCGCCAGCGTCGACAACGACAGCAGTAGCCTCGGAATCGTGAGTGACTGCGCGCTGCTGCTACCATCCGCAGTATCGCCAATCAGCGACATCATCGACATCGATTACAGCAGCTGTGCCAGTGTACGCGCCTATGAAGACCGCAAGCACGAAACACGCTCACTCGCGCGCGCGCGTACTCACACAAACACGCGCTCATATGCGCGTCGTCAAGCCTCGTGGACACCTACCCCGTGATGTTTGACCGCGTTTCGCTGGCACGCAGCGGCCGTTCCCCATCCGCCGTTCCATGAGGACAAGTACACGGCGCAAGGTTCTTTGCACGACGCAGTTCCAGGCAGGCAATGGGTTTGGAAACAACTATATTGCGCACGCTCATGTTTTCCTCCGGTGCGCCAATGACCTCAATCGGCGGTTAGCAAAGTGAAGGTGTGAGTGACACCCGCAACCGAATTTGCGTCTTGTGAGGCTGCGCGACAGATTCACACACCGACTAGAGAAACTTAGATTCGGCAGCAAAAACACGGACGAAGCAACTCAGAAACGAACGGGTGCGCACACTTTTCCTTGGCGAGCGCTCGCTCGCCGACGCGCTTGTCCCAGCGTGGGGAAGACGGGAAAGAGCAAGCAGCCGCTGCCACACGCGCACGCACCCATTCAGTGTTTCCTCCGACGCGGAAGTTGTGGGGATGCCAGCAGCTGAATTCGTTTCCAGCACAGACGCACACAAAAACGCATTTGAACGACGTAGAAAAGCGGGGTCGTTTTAACCAACGCTGGCGCGTAAGTTGCCCGCATAAGGTGGTACGTAAGCGCTCCCATCTCCACTGTAGCGTGCCGCGCGGGCGGCCCGCGTAAGCCGCCGCGCACGGTCGTTACGTCATCTCGCGTAAGACCCGTTCTCTTTCGTCGTTCATGTATAGATCCCGCCGCCCCAGAGGAGCGTCCGATCTTGCACCCCGCCGCTCGAAGCACAGAAGGCTGCCTGCTGTCGAGCGTGGGGCGCTTTGGGGGCTTGAGGCTCAGGAAGATGGGCATCGGCCGGCCTTGGGCGCGTAAGGGGCAGACATCGTTCGGCGATTGCAAAAGGTGTGGTAGACATCGTTCGGCGACCGCGTCTCGACCCGCCACACGCACACGCGTTCACGCGCACGCGCACCGCTTCCTCGAGTGCGGCTCCGGATCGCAGACATCGGGGCAGCAAAGACGGGGCACGTTCAAAGTGCCGTGGCGCGCGCGGCCAGGCCAGCACAGCCAACGGCACGGGCGCGGGCACCGGAGGCTGCCAGAGGTGGTCCTGGCCCGAAATGTCCCAAAAGTCTTCGCGCCAATTGAGCGACGAAGCAAAACGGGTTCGTCTTCACCGACATTGGCGCGTAAACTGCCCGCGTAAGGTCGCGCGTAAGCGCCCTCGTCATCCACGCAGCGTGCCGCGCTGGCGGCTTGCGTATCGCGTAAGGCCCGTTTCTTATCGTCGCTCAATTCGGCTCCCCTGGGGCCCTCTGGGCCTGGAGGGTTTTTTGCAACCCTGGTTTTTGTTGCAATCCTTGGTTTTTTTCCAATCCTTTGTTTTTTGCAATCCTTCGGGGCAGTGGGGCGTCCCTGGGGAGGGCTGGGGCCACCTGGGGCCGGGGCCACCTCTGGCAGCATTCGCCTCCGCCTCCAGATATCCGATGTTCGAATTTGTTCCATACGGGCCCCCCAGAAGTCGCAGGGCCGACTTCTCATCCCGAGTCGTTTCTTGACGGTCCTGGGGCCCGGCGAGGTGCCAGGACCATAACACATGTTCTGCTGGGACTTTTGTCACGTCGCGTCGGTCGATATTTCGGTTTCATCTCGAGACTCAGACCATTTACTGAGCCTTCCGCCATCCAATAACAGCGGCTTCGCAAGGGCAGCAAGCATCGGCCAGCAACCACAAGTGCGCTGAGCTCATGAACCCAGTACTTTGTATCCGACCAACAACCAATTTTTATAAACATACACTTTCGAAGCTCCGCGCTGATTTCCTGCATCGGCGCTGTGGTCCCCTTCATGGCGCGCGGAGCACGCCAGGAACAGCGCCAGAGGCGCCGCCAGGGGGCTCCAGCGCCGATGCCGGAAATCAGAGTCGAGCTCCGAGGGTTTGTTTTATGCCAATGATTGCTCCCCGAGTTTTGGTTGTGACCCGTTGTCTGTACATAGTTATGCTTATGTCAGTTCCCCGTTTGGTTGTTTATGTTTACAGTCAACGCGGATGGTAAGGATGAGCGAATTTCCCAGGTTACCCATGCATCATTCCTTTCCGGCCCATCCTTGGCCACTCTCGCTGGCCGTGCCCCGCTCGAAACGCATCGACATGGCTTTCCAAGGCCCTTGCATCCTTATCGTGTATCCTTACCGTATTGTACGCGTCGACTTTGAGCCGTGGCCTTTGCCAGCTCCCGAGTCGACCAAGAGCGAATCGACACCACCCCACCACCTACGACCCGCTGGGCCGCAGGTGGGTCGCAGGTGGGGCAGTGTCGCAGGTGGGCAAGCGCACAAACTTTCCACATCGCTGGGTCGTAGGTGGGGCGATGTCGTTTGGAAGGCCGCGGCCTGGCGTCTGCATCGTGGAGGAACCACAGAGCAGCACAAGGTGACCGCCGCTGCGGCGACAAGAGTGGATCGCCGCTGCGGCCAGGAGCGAGAAGAAGGAGGAGCGTAAGCACCACAGCCGAAACCGACGGAAAGGATGGGCAACCCTCCCAAGAGCACCCTTTGCATGCTTGCCTCCGGGGGTGTCATCTGGTTTCTGGTCCCCGAGTGCGCCGCGCTCGGCGCGCCCGCGCCCGCGGATCCTCCCGCGCCGCCGCTTCCGCCATGCGGCCGCTGGGCGGCGGCGCTTTGGGCGCCGCGCCGCTGCGCCTGCTGCTCGCGTGGTGCGACGCGGGGCGGGCCGTCGCCTTCGGCCTCGCTGCGACCTCCTCCTCCCCCTCCTCCTCCTCCTCCTCCTCCTCCTCCTCCTCCTCCTCCTCCCTCACTCCTCCCTCCCCCTCCTCCCTCCCTCCCTCCCTCCCTCCCTCCCCCCCCTCCTCCTCCTCCTCCTCCTCCTCCTCCTCCTCCTCCTCCTCCTCCTCCTCCTGCTCCTCCTGCTCGTCCTCCTAGTCCTCCTCCTAGCCTCATTCCAGCAGACCCCTCAGTGTGGCGAGTTCGCCGCTCTGGCGAGGTCTGGGATGGAGGTGACCAGTTCATCTTCGGCTTACAGTGACTGTAAGAACGTTGTGGACCTTGCCCAAGCCCCGAGAGAGCTGCAATTTTCGTATAAGCGACCCTGCGCTGGCCGGATGATTCTGTACAATCTAGGAGTCCCTGCCATCTCGGAGGTGCCAAAAGTCAAGACCCGCCTCGAGCTGTCCGAGGTGGTGGAGTCGGCCGACACGTATCCTCACAAGCTTGTGCTGCTGCCGCCCTTGGCTCGTGATAGGCCGCTGCGGTGCAGGGCGCCGCGGGAGCCCGAGGCCTTCGCGGCGGCGGCGCCGCCCGGGCTGCAACCGATCCCCAGTGGGGTTTTAGGCGGCGGTCCAGGAGGCGACCGAGCGTGCTTCCTGCGAAGGCGAGGTGGCTCAGTGCTGGGACGATGTTTTGCGGGGCATTGAGCAGGAGCTGCGCGGCCGCTTCGACCTGGTGGGCGAGGTCTGCGCTAGGCAAGTTGGGCATGCGGGGCCGCTGCGAACGCGTTGGCAGAAGGTTTCCTGGCAGCCGCCGCGACGCCGACCTGCTGTGAGGGGCCCCGCCACCGATGCGTGGGCTGTGGCGGCGGGCTGGGCCAGGCACCTGCGACGGTTCAGTGGGAGCCTCGGCTCCAGGATCCCTCAGCTGATGGATGCACTGGCTGCTGGGGGGGTGCCACGGCGGCAGAGACCTCCAAGCTCGGGTTCATGCTCCACGACGCGGAGGCTTCCATCAAGCGGGTGCGCAAGCAGAAGTGGGTCTTCGCGGAGGTCGATGCCTACGGCCCGCCTTTCCTCCAGCAGGGGCTGCTGGCTTTCGCGGGCGCCCGCTTCCACGACGCGGCGGCTTGGCTCGTCCATCAGGGCAAGAGCAAGATGGCCGACTTCGCGGCGGTGCGCGCCAAGTCGTGGAAGGCTAGGGTCGAGGAGAGCTTCGTGCAGGGCGCGTCCAAGGCCCATCGCTTCTCTAAGGTGCAGGCGCTGCAGCCTGCGGAGGCTGAGGCCGCTGGTGCTCAGCCTCATGAGCGCGCCGATAGCTGCCTCGATTTCTGGTCCAGCATCTGGGCCGCCCATGGCTGCTCGCGCTTGGAGCTGCCGCCTGAGGCTGCTAGCTGGCCGCTGCTGCTGGGCATCTCTCACGTCGAAGTCCGAGCTGCTGTTCGTGCGTTTTCCTCTCGGACTGCCGTTGGCCCAGGACGCCTCGCGCCGCTCAGCCTCTGGTATCTCAGCGATGAGGCTCTGCGGGCCCTCGCCGTTCTGTTTATGCAGTGCGGAAAATTAGGATGTGGCCCAGCAATCGTTTGGCCGCCGAGTTGGTGCGCCTCCCCGAGCTTGACAAACCAGGTGAGCACAGGCTGATAGCCCTCATTCACTCTCTGATTCGGGTGTGGGGGAGGATTCGGAGGCCTGTGTCGGTGGAGTGGGAGGGGGGCCATCGTGGCAAGTTTTTGTGGGGCTCGGGCCCTGGGCGCTCTAGTCTCGATTGCGCTTTCGCTCGCAATTTGGAGGCCGAGGTGGCTCGCGGCATAGGCGAACACTGCGTGACAGCTTAAATTCGCATGATTACATGTTATGAAGTAGTCGTGTTGTCTGCTGTGATGGCCGAGGCGGCTGCCGTGGGATACCCCCTTCGATTAGCTTGGATGCTGGTGTGCAACTACCAGCGGCCCCGGCGCATCCGTGTGTTCGGGTCGCTCAGCCGCTCCTACAGTTCCTACCAGGGGATTCTCGCGGGAGCCATGCCACCACTCTTATGCAGGTCCTGTTGCTTAGGCCCCTCCAGCGACTCAAAAGGGAGTTCGATTTTGTTGTGCCCCGAGGCCTCGTGGACGACGTTTCGTTTCAGTGGATAGGGGCTGTGCCCAAGGATGGAGGTGTAGTGTTTAATGCTGTGTTGGCTCTCACCAGGCATGCCCGCCCGGTCGGCTTCGCCATCGACGCTGCGAAGTCGGGATACCTGGCGTCGTCGACAGAGGCGGCCAAGGCTGTCAAAGCCCGAGCGTGCAGGCTCAGGCTGCAGCAGTTTCGGACGGCCAGGAACCTTGGTCACGACGCGTTTGCTGGCGGCATCCCCCGCAGAGCCCTCGAAAGAAAACAGGTTGGCCGACGAGGGCGGCTTCGGGCCGTTGGGGAGACCAGGGGGCTCGAGGCGAGGCGCGCGGCTTTATGCCGTCAGGTAGTTATGGGGCCGGGGTGGTAGGCCTCACGGACTCCACCCTCATGAAGTTGAGGTCGTTTGCCGGCGAGCTGGTAGGAGCTAGGCGAGGCCTCGCGTCGGTCGCTCACGGCAGACACTTGCACGCAAAAAGACAGGTTCTATGCTCCCTCCTTCGACGCCACCTGTCTTTTGGTGGTCAGATATGCGCGCTGGCTATGGGGCGGTCGGACCTCCCCCTCTCGCCTCAAGACTGCGGTCGCGGCCATCCGTGACCGGTTGGGTCAGCAGGGGTCTTGGAGGCAGCGCTTCGGTCCCATCTTTGCTGTGCTTCTGACGCTTCGTCGCATTGGCTGGGAGTTAGAGGCCCCCACCTCCTCCTCTCGGACCGTGGCGAGCGCATTTCTGTGCGAATGCTCTCCCAGCGAAGTTCGGTGCCTCGTTCGAGACGGGATCGAGCGTTGACTTGGGCGTAGGGCCCCCTTCCATTGGCCAGAGGCGTCGGGGGTCGAATTTTGTCGGGCTCGCGCCGCGCGATGCGCCTGCCCCTCCTGGCGCTCCCAGCTGGTGCCCGTCAAGGTTCGATGCGCGCCCTGTGGTCTGGGGAGTTGCGGCCGCCTGCTCACAAGTTCGACGCCGGCCTGGCTCCTCAGCTCAGTGCACCCTCTGCGGAGCGGAGCGAGGGTCCATGGGCCATCAGTTTTTTCGATTGTTCCAGTGCCTTCGCCTCAGGCGAGGATTCGGGGGATGGCATGGGCTTCCCTGAGGATGTTTGGCGGCACAGGCAGGCCTTGCGGGAGAATGGGAGGTCTTTGGGGTCGGTCGATTGGGATGTCGTGTCGTCGCTCCACGGGGTTCCCTCCCTCCCTATCCAGTTGCCTTCTCCCCGGGCTCGGCCGCCAGTGCTCACCTGGGGTCTCGCGGGAGGTCCCTGGGGCAGGTTTCGGTTCACGGACGGGTCTGGGCTCCATAGCTCGATGCCCGAGGCCACTAGATGTGGCTGGAGCGTGGTTGAAACTTCTGATGATGGGTGGCCATTGAGGGCCAGACTTGGCGGGCTCCCAGGGCGTTTTCAAACGGTCCCCAGGAGCGAGAGGTGGGCGGGGCTAGAGGCTGTCGCCCTCGGGCCTGGCCTGCCACCTGGGGGCCTCTTGGAGGCCTCCTGGGGACCTCTTGGGGGCCTCTTGGGGCCATCATGGGGCTATTTGGGGGCTTCTTGGGGCCTCTTGGGGCCTCCTGGGCGCATCTTGGGGCCATCTTGGAGGACATCGATCAAAGAAGAGGGGAGCTTCTTTTAGCCCTGCCCCCCCAATAGGCCAACATGGTGCCCAAACCGGAGTAAAACCAATTCGAACTACCCGCGACCGGCCCCGTCCAGGGGAAGGGGTACGGGGAGGGGTCAAGACTCCCTCCCCGCCCGCAAGCCGTCTCACTCACTCCCGCCCGCCCTCCCAACACATACGTAGCACCCGAGTCTGGCCCGAGCCTCAGCATATTCAGCAGTCGTCTTTGGATGGGCAGCTACTGGGGGCCAATCCGCCGTCGCCGCCGCCGCCTCCGCCGCCGCCGCCCCCGCTGCCAAATCGCCGCAGCCGCAGCCGCTGCCGCCGCAGCCGCTGCCGCCACCGCCACCGCCGCCGCCGCCACCGCCGCCGCCGCCGCAGCCGCCGCCGCCGCCGCCGCCGCCGCCGCCGCCGCCGTCCCCGCCGCCGCCGCCCCCGCTGCCAAATCGCCGCAGCCGCAGCCGCTGCCGCCGCAGCCGCCGCCGCCGTCCCCGCCGCCGCCGCCGCCGCCGCCGCCGCCGCCGCCACCGCAGCCGTCGCAGCCGCCGCCGCCGCAGCCGCCGCAGCCGCCGCCGCCGCCGCCGCCAAGTGTATTCTGTATAGTTTTTTGACAGGGATGGTGGGGGGAGGCTGCATCGGGTTGGCTGCGCATGCTCCGGATTTGGAGGCAGAGTTTTTTTTGTTTGGTTCTTTTACAAAGGATGGTGGGGGGGTGCCCGCATGGTTCTGGGTTGGCTACCAATCGCCTGGGGGAGGGGGTGTTCATTAAAAGGGAACAGTGACAAACCCTTCCCCGAAGGGGAAGAAGGGGATTTTGAAGAGGAGCCGCCCTAGACCACCTACGCCCAGAGGGCTGGTGGCCAAGCCCAGCAACGTGACGGAGGGCATCAACATGGGACTGCCGATCGTCTACGACTC